CAGGGCAGGGCCTTGACCTCCGGCTCCACCAGCAACCTCCCTGGCTCGCATTTGACTTGAGCGTGCTCCCCCGCCGCCCTGGCCGCTCTCTTTTTGGGGTGGTTCTCCCGCTTTCGCATGTGGAGCGGCGCGAGGGTCCCCGCCAGGTAGCCCTTCCCGTCGGGGTTCGGGGAGCTGGAGGGCATTTCCACGACGCTCCTCTCCGCGGCAGCTTTCCCCGCTGAGGTAGGTTGAAGGGGCGCCGGGAGCCTGTTGATTTCCAGCTTGGCTCCCAGCCGGGGCTGCGGCAACACTTTCTCCAGAGGCAGGTTGCCCTGCAGGAGCTGGGTCACCAGTGGGTTGTTCGCCTCCACGGACGACAGACGGCAGCTCGAGCTGCCTGCGTTGGGCGCTCTTTTCAGGGTGTCCGCAGCCAAGGACACCGCCTCGTCCCCGGGGCCCGAGGTGGGGACCTTCCTGTTCTGCGCCTGCTGCACCCCCGGGGCTGCCTCCGTGGCCGGAGGGGGCCGCTCGGGGCCGGGGAGGTCCCCAGTGTCCACTCGGAAGCCCCTGTCCGCTCTGTCCACTGCCTGGGGCTCGGGCTTCGGGGGGAGAGGGACCCCCGGCAGGAGGCTCCTGGGGTGGAGCTCCGCCACGTGTGAGTAGCCGGCGCGCTCGGCTTTGACGGCCTTGGCACAGCCCAGCTCTGGACGCTCCTTCTGTCTGCTCGGCCCTGAGTGGCTGCCCGGCGGCCCAGTGCTCCTCACGGCCTCCTCCTTCCAGCTCAGCCTGCCGCCTGCGGTGTACGGGCCGCCACCGGTTGTGTCGGCTTCACTTTTGAAAGTGGCCGGGCCACGGGCCTGCTCAGCAAAGCTGTTGCCAGGCGCCGTCGCCTCGTGTAGTGTCTCGGGAAGGACCAGGGGCGCCTCCCGGAGGCCTGGGCAGGGGGCCTGCGTCGGTTTGCTGTCTGGTTTGGCTGCAGACCCGGCGATGACACTGGGCCCGGGATCGATGCTTTCGGTGGCGGCCGGCTCTGGCCTGCTGATCCCTAAAGGGACACTGCGGAGGCCAGGGTGGCGCTGTGATCCACGATGACCTTGCAGGGGATCGACCTGTTGATGGCTGCCGGGGCGAAGGCCGCCTGGTGCTGGCCTTTCCCACAGTTCTCTGCCCTGTTCCGAGGCCCTGAAGTTTTGTCCAAGCTCTCGGCACTGAACTTGGGGGCACAGTCGTAAGAGCTGATGGTCAACATGCCTCCAGTAAACACGGCGATGGGCGGGCGGGCCACCAGAGGGTCCGTGA